CAAACCCAGAACAGTCTGACTTTAAACTGGGGTTTTCAACTTGCACACTATGATTATGTAGAAATCCAAAATAATCTACAAATGGAATTATTGAGTTCAGCAAGACTAGCAGACACAAGGTCCACATACCTAAAAATGCTTCAATTTTTCCAATTTCCACCAACCAAAGAAAATAAAATTTCTAAAAAGACATTCAATGATAGTGTGGTTTTCAAAAACTGGACTAAAATTAAATTAAATTCAAGAACAAAAATTAAGATCTCGCCAAGCAGTAGTAGCACGAGCCTTTTATCCCAGCACTCGGGAGGCAGAGGCAGGTGGATCTCTGTGAGTTCAAGGCCAGCCTGGCTTACAGAGCTAGTTCCAGGACAGGCTCCAAAGCTACAGAGAAACCCTGTCTCGGGGAAAAAAAAAAAAAAAAGATAAGATCTCAGTAGCAAGATGTGCCATGGTCATTGTAGAAACACAAGAGCAATTATAAAACAATGTCATTTCTCTACATGTCACCCATAAATTCAATGCAACCCCAATCAAAATCATACCAGGGTTGTTTTTCCTTTTGGAGAAACTGACAAACTGATTTAGACTTTTCATGGCCAGGGCAAAGGCTGAGATTAGAAAAGGTGATCTGGGAATTGGGGGGCGGGGGTGAGTGAACTCGTGCATGCCTTTCAGACTCTGCTATCAGGCTGTGATAATCAGATAGTGACCTATCAGAACAAGAAAATAGACAAAGGTCAATGAACAGAGCGCCCAGGGGACACCCGGTCTAAAGGCACCATAGAGCTGTGGGCACAGGCGTGTACTGTCAAGAAACGATGTTACATCACTTGGCCATCAATATGAAAGCAGGATGCTGAACACCTGTCTCAGCTTCTTTTCCTGTTTCATTCCCCTAGACTTTAGGACACAGATTAACCCCAACCCAGTCACAGTAGACGAACCCATGAGGAAGCCAAAGAAGATGTCAGGAGTCAGTTCTCCCCTCCTGTCACGTGGGTCCCGGAGACCAAACTCAAGTCGAGCTTGACAACAAGTACTTTGAGCTTCTAAGCTATCTTGCTGGCCCATATATCTCATTTTAAATGTTTGCCTTTTAAAAACACAAGGATGGCAGAGCAGGTGGAAAGAGTGGAAGTGGGCAGACGAGAACAAAAATTGCTAAGAGGAGAGAGATGAAAGACTATCTAGAAAAGCTACTGTCACGTAGGACCCATGGACCACTGCGGAGTGCCAGGATGGGATCACAGGGTTGGGGTGGGAGTTAGTGTGCTCGGCTAACCTCTAGCATCTGTCTGAGGTTCTGGGATGGACAGGAGGGAGAAGATCAGGTGTGACTACAGACAAGGAGGATCCAGGTTAAGAGAAGGTCCTTCGTGGGTGTGACTACAAAGACCTCAGACAGACCACAGGTACCTGCATACTAGGGATGCAGACCATGACATGCAAGGGCCTCCTAGGCCCAAAGCCTATTGCTACACCTCGAACAAAGTCTTTCTTCTCTATGCTCCTAAAAACTTTATGACTACAAAGGTAAAGCAAACATTTATTTTAGAAATAAAGGCTCAAAATTGAATCTAAGTAGGCAAATATTTTGCAAGCATGGGCCCGGCCGGCTTCGCATTCCTGATGTCTGGCTTCAACCAGGCACTTGCTAGAACTTGGCCCTGCTTTTCTCCTTGCTCAATGACTTCCTAGTACATTCCATACAGTCCCACCCTGCAGTTGTTTCCTCACGGTGACCTCCCTTGCCACCAGTGACTACAGCCCATCAGAAGCCACACTGCCCATTCCACCTTGAAATACCTCCTTCCCAGCCCTTGCATCTATGTTGTGTCTCTGTTCTTAAATTGTCACAGAGGCTGTAAGAGTGGCCCAAGGACAAGTAGGGCTGAGGAAGCATTCAATGAGAGAAGCATTATCTCTCCAGCTGGGAGAGGTAGTCAGAGCAAAGTCTAGGCTGAGTTGCAAAGTTGGCTAGCTTTGATCAGCTAAGGTACAAGGGAGAGAGAGTCGGAGGAGGACAGTCCAAGCCATATTTCAAGCTTAAACATGTCAAAGTCAGAGGTCAGAGCCCAGGTTGTCAAAACAGAACATAGACGCTCCCTATTGGGATATTGGTGTCAGATGGTATGAGGTTCAAGTCCCAGTTATAGTATTTACCGGTTGTGTGACCTTAGGCAAGGAACTGTCCTCTCTGGCCTCATTTTTTTTCTAGTGACATACCTGTGAGCTTGGGATAGGGATAAAGTAGGGATGGAGTGGGGTGGGGTGTGGCAAAGGTCCCAGGTCAGGCGAGACTACATACAGGTCTAAGAGTTAATCCCCTGCGTCACAAATAGCTCTTGAGTCTTTCAAAGGTGGAGGATGCCTCCTGGCCTAAGCTTGGTTCTTGGTACCCAGCAGTTAATGAGCATCTGTGCTCTGGGCTATCAGCCTCCTGAAGCACTGACTGCTTTTCTAAGCAGTTTCTGCCCTTTCCTGTGCTGTTGGGAGAACAGGAGTTATCCTGAGTGGCAGTCGTATAGTTTAGGGCATTAGTCAACTATGGTTGAAGACCAGGTCCTGGGCAGAGGAGGAGCTGCCAGCATCATTTTCTGTGTCCTTTCCCTGCACTCTTGACTCAGGATCCTCACCTCTACCAGACCCCTTTGCCCGTTTTCTCAGAAACATCTCTGTCCTCCCCACTATGCCCCTTCTCTCCACTCGGACATCCCCAAGTCTCACCTCTAAAAACATTCTCTTGACTCCAAGCTTTCCTTCCATTTTGTCCCCCTGTTCTCTGTCCCAAACCCACTAGTAGGAGGCCATACTCTCTGCCGGCTTTCCCACAATCATCTGGGTTCCATGCCAGTTGTCCAAACTCAGGGCCCGGCTGACAGCAGGACGCTACTGAGAGCGTGGAATTTAGGCCCCTGGCAAGTGCAGAAGGGGGCCGACCTCCCATCCCAGGCAGAGGTCTGGGATCTCAACTGCTCTGGAGGATGGGGTAGGAGAACTGCAAGTTCAAGGCCTGAGGGAATTACGGTGAGTTTGAGGATGCTTGCCCAGCTTTATGAGACTGTCGAAAACAGAAGGTAAAGGTGAGCTGAGGATTCCGCTCTGTGGAGGAGCACTTTCCTAGCGTGCAAACACAGAACTATTTTTGAAAACGTGCAGATGGGCACACGCAGGCCTACCAGCATAGACATCAACAGACTGAGACACACGAACATGGACGCACGCCTAGAAATGTTCAACACACACAGATGCAGAACAGAAATATGTGCAGACCCCACAACACACACCACACAATGCACACATGCAGACAGGCAGAGAACTCCCGTGTGCATCCACACCCTGGAAGACACACAGTGACACATAGACATATACTATCCCATTTTCCAGAAGAGGCGGGAAGCCCGGGGCCATCCACTAAGGCCACAACCCCAGATGCTGGCAGAGCAGGAGGAAAGAAAGACCTCAGAATCGCTGCCCTTGAGGAGGGGCAGGTCTCACAGGGCCCGTAGATTGTTCTGTGTCCTGGGACAGAAGGCTCAGCACTCCCCAATGGTCTAAGTACTTGGATGGTGTGCCGCTGGCATTGTATCTCCAGACAGGAAGAAAGATGGGAGGCTGCAGGGCTTGTCCACCCCAGGCCTCTCCCAGACAAGCTGCAAAATCTGAATTTGAACTCAGAGCTCTGACTTCCTGGACTCGTAGCCAACTCTGCTTCCCAGCCTTCTCACGCTAACTCAGCACAGCTCAAGTGCCCACAAACAGAAGCTGTTGGCCTGGAAAGGAGGTTCTGGGGACTCTGAACCCCTTAAACATTGCCCTGAGGTAGGGTGCAAGGTCCTGCCTTCATCTAGCCCTAGCCCAGGTCTCATCTGCACAGACGGGGGTCTTTTCTCCCTCATCTTTCCCTATCTCAATCTACCAGTTAAGGTGCCTTGTAGATCATATGGTTTCCCAGCAATTTTTTTTTCATTTTATTTACTGTTGCTTTTTAATCCTTGCTCTGAATTCTTTCTAAATAATCAACTTGAATATTAATTATTCCTTTGAAGAAAGTTTCTTGGATGTGTGACTGGCTCTTAATTTTTCTCACAGATTATCTTTGCAGGGAATAAGAAATCAGACAGTATTCCTCCACTATGGAGGCCTCAAACTCTAGCTACGCAACTCTGGCTGGCCTTGAACTCACCATGTTGCCAAGGCTGGCCTCAAATTCATGGCAGTCCTCCTGTCTCGGCCTCCAGAGTGTTAGGGTTACAAATGTTCACCATCATGTCTAGCCTGACAGATACTTAGTAATAAAGACATAAACCAGGCCTGGTAGGACATTTCTTTTTGGTTCTACATTTTGTCAAGTCTCAGTCATGCATCTGTGTGGACACCAGAGTATACACCCCTCCGACTAACAATGTGTAATGAGATATCTGTGTAAATGTACAGATACAGAGACAGATGTGTGTGTGTGTGTGTGTGTGTCATTATAAACCCATCTCTTTGTATTCTAGCCAAAAACTTTAAAATGGGTAGAAAAATAAAACTTTTTTTAAATGATAGAAGCCCCGACCTCCATCTCTCCAGGGGCCGTACACACACACACACACACACACACACACACACACACACATGTTTTTGTGTGTTTTTGTTTATTTACATGCAGTTGTTGACCCTGATTGTATAGGACAATTGCTTGAACATTTTGTTTTTGAAACTAGGCAGGTCTGCTGTGTAGCCCTGACTGGCCTAGAACTTCTTATGTAGATCTGATGGCTTCACACTGAGAGATCTGCTGTCTCTGCCTCCAAGGACTGGGGCTAAAGGTGTGGACCAGCATACCTGCCTGTCACTTGACCATTCTTATAAACTTCCAGCATCAGGTCCCTGCAACAGTCAGAATCCTGAGAACAGGGGGGCAGACCTTAAACATCAGCATGTGTGTGTTGGATAGAGTCCCAGCAGTGACAGGTGATGGGGATTGTAAACTGGAGAAGGGCAAGAAACGCTGAGAACTTGAACTCTTTTTTACCAAGTGGGAGAATTGTCCTGCAAAGGGCACGACCCCTAGAATTTGGATATGTGCCTTTGAGTCTGTGCCTAGCCGTCCCTCTTTGTCAACACAAGTGTCTGGCTTGGGCGGAGGGCCCGGTCAATGGTACCCGAGAGGTTTCTGGAGTTCCACATCTTTGTCTGGATCGCTTGGCTGCTTCCTGGCCCAGGGATTATTCTTTGTCTCCTGCAGTCCCCTGAACTCTGGATTCCAGGTCCCCTGTTGTCCTTTATCTGTTGCAGCCAGCCATGGTCTTGCTGCTGCCCTGAGGTGGTCCAGTAGTCAGGCATCCAAAGTGAATTAGAGACATTGTGACATCAGCAGTTGTCACGCTTCCGTGCCCCGAACCTTCTGCCTTTCCTCGGGGATCCTGCTGGCTGCAGATGGTCATTAAAGGCTGTTGTTAGGGTAGTCATCTCTGCCCTAGACAGGAAGCCTGAAGCCAGGCACTCTGTGTAAATGACCGCACTTAGGATGTCCAGACTCAGGGAATGAGGAAGACGCTGACTTTATCTCACTTCCAACAAGCAGATATCTGAGCCAGAACCAACCAGTTCTGAAACAAGTGCATTCTGGAGTCCACTTCCTTTGTGCCAGGATCACCAGGTGCACATGGCTGACTCACAGGCCTGGGGTGGAAACAAAGAGTTGGCCCCATTAACAAGGTACTTTGGGAGAAACTTAGAGAGAATTTCTTTCTCCAGCCGCTTTGGACAGCACTTAAGAGACAGACCAGAATGCTCTGCAGTTCCTCCTCTAAGCCTAGCTATAATTCTGCTCAATGCTTCTCTCTGGAATCATTCTTCATCCCTTCCCACTGCTCTCAAGCCTGTCCTGCACTTGTCCAGAAGGAATATGAAGCTTCCCTTCTAAGCCTCAGACAAACACTTGAGCCGTCATTAAAGCAAGTACCTGGCCTTCCTTGGAATCATCAGCATTTTCCAGCGCCAGCTTCTCCAACCGAAAGCTCGTGTAGACCTTTCATTGTTCTGCCTTCTTGTCTGGGCTCTCACCTCCCTAGACCCCAGTCCCTCCTCAGGGCCTGCTCATTTGGCAGCTCCTGGGTCCGTTACACCATGGAGCCACTGAGTTCTCTTTTTTGTGGATCATCACATCCCAGTCCCATCTGTCTTCACTCAATATTTCTTGGGGTTTTTTCTCAGGGGGAGGGGTTGAGATAGACTTTCACTGTGTAGCTCTGGCTGTTCTGGAACTAGCTTTGTAGACCAGGCTGGCCTTGAACTCACAGAGATCCACCTGCCTTTGCCTTCCAAGTGTTGGGATTAAAGGCGTGCGCCACCACTGCCTGTTTTTGTTTGTTTTGTGTTTCCATTCACTCAACCTTCTAACAAGCTCCTTTCCATGGGGGTGAGGGGTTATACGCTCCCACAAGGGAAAGATCATGTGGAAAGGTGGGCGTGGGGGTGCAGAGAGGCTCAGGTGTTAGGATATGGAAAACACTTACTTCAAGACAAAGATGTGGAATTTGTGTTGAGCCAGCAAGCCTGGGGAGTCATTGGGCATTCTTGTATTCAAAGATCTGGCAGAGATTGAGTTAGAAGTGCAAAGGACGGGCAGGTAACTATCCTAGGACTCCCACAAACTTCAAAAATCACAAACCATGAGCTTCCTCTGGAGCGAGAGGACACAGCTGCCTGTATCTGGTTCCAGATGTCTGTATAGACACAGATTGTGTAAAACGGCCTATGGCCTAGAGGCAGACAGACCACTGGATAGAGCCACTCAGAGAGATGCCTGCCTGTGCACATAGGGCTTTAGGGGATCGTGATGCTCGCTTGCTGTGTGTGTCTATGTTATCCCTGGCAAGACTCCAAACCAAGAAAAGAAGTCGATAGCCTGAGTTGCTTGCCTCCCACAGGCTTGCCTGGCCTTTGACAGCTGGCTCCAGGGAGATGCACTTTTCCTTCCTCTGTGGGCTGCACATTCCTCACAAGTCAGATGCAGTGTGTGAGGCGTCACCAGATGTTTTCATCAGCTGCAAGAAGGGTCAAACCGAGTAGTGTGCACCGTGAACTGGCCTCAACACTAGCATCTGGTGACCTCCACAAGATAGGTACTGACCGTGGCCTTTCCCCTTCACTCCAGGCAGAAGGAATTCAGCATCCAATACTGGAAACTTGGAAACGAAGTTTCTCAACTCTTAGTTCTGGAGACTAGGAAGTTCAAGAGCCTAATATTGGCATCTGCATTGTCACTGATGAGGGAAGATTCTTGCTTCCTAAATGGCAAACATATGTGGGAAAGTGTATCAGAGAATGCTCATTCCATATCAAAACCACTCCCTTGATAGCCCTTTAACACATTAATCTACATGCAGACTAGCCCACTCATAAGAGCAGATCCTCATGCCCCAGTCACCCCAAATACCAAAGACATCCACCTCCAAATACCAGTAACACATAATGTGGGATGCTCCTCTATATGCTGTGAGTATGTTTTATTACCATTGGTTAATAGAGAAACTGATTTGGTCAATAACCAGAATAGAGTCAGGGGGAAAAATCTAAGCAGAGAGACAGGGAGACGAAGGGAAGCATCAAGGAGATGTCAGGAGACACTGGAGAAGCAAAATGTGAGATAACAAGCCACGAGCCTTGTGATAAAAATATAGAATAATATAAATGGGTTAATTTAAGCTGTAAGAGTAAGTTAATAATAAGCCTGAGCTAATAAGTCAAACAGTTGATAATTAGTAGTAAGAGTGGTTATTCAGAGACTGGTGGGTGGGGAAGAAACCTCCAGTTACAAACACATGGCTCAGGGGCTCCAATTTCCAGTATGACTGCTAGAGAACACAGTTAGTAAAAGAATCAAAGCTCAAACTGCAGAACACAAGCCATGACAAGGGGACACTCTCTGGAGTAGGATGTTCAAAATAAAGACAGGACAGGGTACAGAGCCATGAAGGGTGGACAGGACATGAAGGTAGAGTCACTGATTACACCGCCACTGACCTTTTCACAGGTCCCTCTGTCCCTGTAAGTTGGCATCTAGAGGCTTGGGTAGATTTGCATTCACTTGTGGCTTGAATGAAAACATCCCCCAGAGGCTCATAGGGAGTAGAACTATTAGGAGGTGTGGCCTTGTTGTTGGAGGAGGTGTGGCCTTGTTGTTGGAGGAGGTGTGGCCTTGTTGTTGGAGGAGGTGTGGCCTTGTTGGAGGAGGTGTGGTCTTGTTGGAGGAGGTGTGGCCTTGTTGGAGGAGGTGTGTCACTGGGGGTGAGCTTTGAGGTTTCAGTGTCAGGGACCAGCCTCAATAAAAATACCACTTGCCAGGGTAGAGGCATGGGAATTTAGAAATATAAGTAAAGAATATGAAGACGAAGACATGTGAAAAATAATAAAACAGAAACCATAGAATAATACGGGGAGGGCATTTCAGTGAATACTGAAATCATCCACGTTTAATTTTCCATACACTTTTATACCCCAATACAAAAGGGAGAAGGCAACAAAAGATTTCTTTGTCATGATACAAAGGACAACTCAAACAGTTAATTGCTTTAACACTTCGAGACATCAAGTCATTAGTATTCTGTTGTTTAGGCAGTGAAGCCACACTAGATCAAGTATCCTGAAGGCAGCCATTCCCCAGGTAACCTCATATTACAAAAGAAGGAGAAGAAGTACACTTGCATATTCTGACCATCTCTCAGAATGGAATGGATCTACTTGTATGGGCCATATTAATGTCAAAAAAAAAAAA